CTAGTTGACCATGGGGCGGATAAGTTGACGACCATATAGGACTCTATTAGCGCGGGCTGAAATCCCTATTGCAGCCTGCAGGGTTACGTGATGAACATACGGAGGAGCGCGACCGTTGAGTTGAACCGCCCCAACATTGAAAGATTACGCTCAAGTAGAATTGCCACCATCCAAAACTTGATGTCAACGTACCAAAAATAGTGTAAAGGTCTACAGAAACTATAGATAGTTAATGTGATGCAAATATTATTAGAAATAGATTCATGGAGCTGGAGCAAGGATTTTTGGAGGAACTATTTTTTTGGGAGCCTGCTCTTGCAAGTAGGTGGTTCGTCGCCCCACCTGCCCACATGAGCCCCACGCTACTGTACAAAGGTTTATTTAATGAACTATATATTATAGAAGATTATATATTGTATGAGGTGTATAGTTCATATATTCCACCACATCCATCCACACAGCAGTAGGTGACGTCCGCTCATGAAGACCTCATGTATCTTCTAATAATATTGTGAGCATCCCAGTGAATGGTCCGTGTATAAACGGTGTAGTGGTCTTAAAGTGTTTTCTGAGCCAGTAGAGGGCGAGCTCCAACGCAGCGCATCAAGTCACTCACAGTTTGGTGGTTTCAACATAGAGGCGGAGATGATGGAGATGAGATGTTAGAACTGAATATAAAATCTGCTCTCTCTCCCTCACCTCCACTCAAATGAACCAAACAGACCTTTTCCAAAAATGGAAATGAAATCAAACGGCCCTTTACTGTGAGTGCTTCTAGATATAAGATACTAGCATGGATACGGTTGAAAATATTAAAGTAAGTAATTATTAATGTATTGGTCGTTATTATTTGAGTATTATTATTATTATTATTATTATTATTGCTATCATTATTATGTTAGACGTAAGAACATAATAATTATGCTATTACTAACATTATTAATCATAATAATTAAATGTGTATTTTATATTCAGAACATGATAAAATACTATAATTGTTGCTCATATTATTGTTATGATTTAATGCATGTTATTATATTAGACATATATTAGTGTATGTATGTTTGCATATTCATAAGTATGTATACGTAGGTTTCGCTGTGTACATATATATAAATATATATACATACACTCGTATGTATGGGTACGTATGCATGTGTACTTATGTATACGTATGTGTACTTATGTATACGTATGTGTCTACGTATGTATAGTATGTATGAACCAGTTCTATGGTATGAACACTTCATTTCCAGCCTGTATGTGTACGTATGTATGTGTACATGTAAATGTATGTATAGTATGTATGAACCAGTTCTATGGTATGAACACTTCATTTCCAGCCTGTATGTGAGCTCAGTTTGTTAAGTTGATTACAATGTATGTGTATTGGAATCTTTAAAAGTTTAATATCTTGAAAAAAATGCAAAGTATTGCTTAGTTATAAATCATAAGATAAATCAGCTCATCATCCTGAACATTTTGATGTATAATATGTGTATGTAGTGTTAATATTGTGGGAGTAGATGCAGTTTATACATTTTTCTAGGTTGCAATGTTTTGACAAAGACAGCGACTCACACACTCAGCACACTATTCCACTATAGTACCATCATATATCTTATGTCATTCTATGTTAATGTTGGTGATGATGATGATGATGATGATGATGATGATGATGATGATGAACAATGGTTGGGTCAGTTTAAAAACATTGAAACCGGTTCGACATTAAGTCCAACAGGAGCGGACCGGTGTACTGAATTGGACCGCTAGGTGTCCACTTGACTCTTAAGTCAACGACCTGTGGTCCACTAGAGAAGGAGGAGAGAGGATAGTGATCAACAACCACTAAACATCACATCATGTTCATCACGTTGTCATCCTGCTGATTACTAACACAATACAAGTTGGATCTGGGAGACTTTTGGATTGACTGTTTGCATCACATCAAACCGGTTTAGGCCGGTGCACCGGACCGGACCGGAAAACCGGGAATGGACCTTCAGCCCCTAATCATGTCTTGTTCTCCCGTCAGATGCCTGTGGACTCACACTGGACCCAAACACAGCCCACAGACGTCTCTCTCTGTCTGAGGACCACAGGAAGGTGATGGAGGTTATAGAGGATCAGTCTCATCCTGACCACCCAGAGAGATTTGACTCCTGGGTCCAGGTGTTGTGTAGAGAGGGTCTGACTGGCCGCTGTTACTGGGAGGTGGAGTGGAGAGGAGCTGTTACTATAGGAGTGACATACAGAGGAATCACAAGGAGAGGAAGGGGTTATGACAGCCTGCTTGGATTCAACAACAAGTCCTGGAGTCTTAAATGTTATGATGATGGTTACACTGCCTTTTACAACGATAGTTCAACAGTCATCCCTCTCCTCCCCTCTGTCTCCACCAGAGTAGGAGTGTATGTGGACCGGCCTGCTGGCTCTCTGTCCTTCTACACAGTGTCCCCAGGTGTAGGAGGGTCCTCACACACACTGACACTCATCCACACCTTCAGCACCACATTCACCCAGGAGGACCTCCTCCCTGGGTTTGGGTTATATGGTCCTGGTTCCTCAGTGTCTCTGTGTGTGTTGTAGTTTATGATCATCTCACCTCCAAACATCGTGAGCTAAAATGACGTCGCGCAACTAACACATCACGGGCACACAAATGATGATTGCAGCACTTTTAAAGTGCTGCAGGACATTTGTAGTTTGGCGATCAATATTTTAACCAAATATGTGATGTTAATATTTGTGACATGAAAAGGGGACATATTGACATTGAGCCTGTTGTTACCATGGTGATGTAGTACTGTAGTAAAGACAGGTCAGTACATGACCAATGGGTTACTATGATGTGTTTTAAGCTTTGGTCAACCAGACAAAAACTATCCAACGTAGGAATAGGGAATCGATCTATGTTGTATTGATTACCTATTGTTTATGATCAGTTCTATGTTGTATTGATTACCTATTGTTTATGATCAGTTCTATGTTGTATTGATTACCTATTGTTTATGATCAGTTCTATGTTGTATTGATTACCTATTGTTTATGATCAGTTCTATGTTGTATTGATTACCTATTGTTTATGATCAGTTCTATGTTGTATTGATTACCTATTGTTTCTGATCGATTCTATGTTGTATTGATTACTGCGTGGCAGGTTGCGTCTCAGCCTATCAGAGAAATGAATATTCATGAGCAAGCTACAACCTTTGCCTTTATCAAATCTATTGATATATTCTTAAGTTCTTCCATAGGGTTAACTAAACAGGTTTCACAAAGATGTAATTTCTAATTTGAAATGTATTTGAAGTATTGATTGATGTAAAATCTAAAAATACAATTTGTACTACAATATGTTTGATATTTTGGACAACATTTTTGTGCTGAAGAGCTCAGATATCAGTTTTTATTTTGATAAGCCTAACATGTAACCTGATTTAAAGCAGATTAATATTAAATTCATTAATGCGGGCTATGGGAAAAGCTACTGGTGTTCATGTTGTGAAGGACTTTAAACTGAATATTGATTCCAGAACATGTTCAGGTATTAAAGATATGTGCACCTGTTGAGGTTTGTAACGTCTGCTACTGTATTATTGAGTCCTGGTGTTTATTGTGTGCATGTAAGGACTACTGCTGTGTTGTGTTGGCTCATAAAGCATCATGGGAAGAAACCAGCGGGTCCAACTGGATGTTGTCGTGGGTTGGATGATCCTTCCCGTTGGTTCAGTGGAGATCCTCCAAGCTGAGCAGATGTTTCTCCAGAGCTCAGCTCTCTGTTGGTTCTCCTAGCAGCACACCTGGATGTCCTTCCAGCCCCTTGGATCCCAGCAGGTCTCTATGGGGTCCTGTCCCCTGACGTGGGCCCGGTCTTCAGTCCCTCCCGTCAAGTTTTCTGTCCATCACTTTAATTTTCATGTTTGTGGCTGACGATTGGTCCAATTTCCACATGACCCACGTGGCCACACGGCGGCACGTGGCCCAGACACAGCATCACCCCATCACCATGGAGACGCGTCGTTATTGAGTCGTGACGAGTGAAGCTGCAGGAGAGGACAAAATGTCGGACAACGAGAACGAGTTTGAGAGTGGCGCACGTAAACGCAAAGTGTGACGAGGAACGCAGATCCGCGGCGTGTGGGAATGATTAAAAACAACGACCTCCCGAAGCCAACAGGATTCTTTAAACCTGTAAATGAGACGCAGCGATCAACCGCTTCCTCACCTGGAGGAGAGCTGGCGCCATCATGGACGCCATTAGAGCAGCCCGGGCCGGGCGGGCCCTCGTCAGCAGGAGCCAGGAGGAGGAGGAGGCAGGAGGAGGAGGAGGAGACAGCAGGAGGAGGAGGAGGAGGAGCCAGGAGGAGGAGGAGACAGCAGGAGGAGGAGCCAGCAGGAGGAGGAGGAGTCAGCAGGAGGAGGAGCCAGGAGGAGGAGGAGTCAGGAGGAGGAGGAGCCAGCAGGAGGAGGAGTCAGCAGGAGAGGAGTCAGGAGGAGGAGGAGCCAGGAGGAGGAGGAGTCAGCAGGAGGATGAGCCAGCAGGAGAGGAGACAGCAGGAGGAGGAGACAGCAGGAGGAGGAGCCAGGAGGAGAGGATCCAGCAGGAGGAGGAGCCAGCAAGAGGAGGAGGAGCCAGCAGGAGGAGGAGGAGCCAGCAGGAGGAGAGGAGCCAGGAGGAGGAGCCAGCAGGAGGAGGCAGGACGGGACGACCCCTACTGACCCGGGTCGCTGGGGCCACAACAACATGAAGGAGGAGGTGCTGACTGAGACTATTGACCACACTGACTTCTTCCTTTAAGGGCACTTAAAATATCACAAGACTCACTCTGTTGCTCGGCCGGACGCAGGTTTTTATTCTGAGTGTGTTTAGTGTCTCGTTAGAAAGGCAGATGTCATATCAATCAAACATGTTATGAAGTTATCCTCGAAGGATATCCTTCGAAGACATGTATCATAACAATAGAGGGTTTTCTTTACAATACAAATGGTGATCTGCCTGGTAGGGCTCACAGTCCAGCGCCACGCTGCTAACCTGAGGGTCCTGGGTTCAAGTCCCTGTTCAGGCGGCTCCTTATCTGACTTATTGTCATGTAGCTTTTTAATTGAGCTAGCGATGTGCTCCAACATTGTTATATCTATTGTAAACAAGTGTCTATTTTCATAAAGCCCTAAAGCCATAGTTCAGTACTATAGATAGCTAGAGGCCTATAGGCCCATTGTAATCATGTATGGTTAGGGGGTAGTCATGTTCTAGGATGTACATATTGTAGCTAGGCTAACACATTCTGATGTTGGTTTGTATTGTTTTCAAGAGCGTCTGCAGAACTGTGCCCTGATATAATCCATATGCCTATTTTTATACGTTACAATTTACATTATTAGGGCCACGGGGCAATCGCACCGAGCACTGGCCCCTACAGCTAAAGCTGAAGGGACCAGTGCTCGGGGCTTTTGTTATTGTGTGGATTTTTTTCTTTTTATTATTCCTCTTCCGGACACATTTCGATTCGCTAATAGTAAGTCGCGAAAAACTGCGAAAAATTTCCCATAGAGAATGAATGGGAGGAGGTAAAAAAACGAAGACTTTTCGTACTGCCTACTGCTGTCTGCTGCTCCGGCATACTTTCACCGAAACTCAATTTAACCTTTAAACAGTAGACACAAGTCTTGTGTATTTGGTGTATTATTCCACGTTTTGATAGGTCATATAGTTTTTAATCAATCACTGATCAATGACCATGATCATTTTGGGAGAAATTATGAGATTATAATGGGTGTGTATTGCGATTTTCTGAGAGAAGCAGAACGGACCCCTGTTTTAAACTTGCAAGTGTCTCCAAAATATTTACTGTAGAAACACTGTAGGAACACCAAATCGTTCAGGAAGTCCTAACAGTGATGATGGTCTGGTTTTGTTCTGATAGGTTATACCGTTTTGTCAGAATAAGCCCAAATGTGAGACCAGTGCGAGACAGAAAATCGCTCTTTTTCTCAACGTTTCTGTCTGCCTCAGCCTGGGGGGCTGTCATCGCGCGTGAGCTAATGACGGTTGATGACGTCATCTATTGACAGTTGATACAAGAGGACTCCTATTGGTCATTTTAACTGGCGCGAATTTTCTCAGGCTGTTGTCAGGCAAACCCTACAGATATCCATCGTCTGATTGGACGGCGGATACAAGAGGACTCCTATTGGTCACCGCCGATCCGCTCTTCCGTTGATCACGGTACACAGGAAAACAGTGATTTAAGATGGCGGCGCTACACGGGAACTGCTTCTGGTAAGATTCGCCGTTTTGAATCTCAAATGGATCATTTGTTTATACACTCTTACACCAGTCAGCAAATATGCTACAGGTCCACAGTGGTGTGTTAAAACCCACCGCACACACACACACACACACCCGCGGTTGTTGTTTTTCCCAATAGCCGCTGTATGTCGACCCGGCTGAAACCCGGGAGGACACGCTGTATTTATCAAATTGATTGGGTCTTATTAGTCATACATACCTTATGTCATTTAATCCTTCTTGTGTGGGTACTCCTTTCACATTGCTTGCTCCGCGATGGATAATGCTCTCGGTACCGCTCCAATATGTCGCCGTATTTCCTTTGCGATGACTCCCAATCTGTTTTCCGCCGCCTTCAACGCCTTAAGTCCAAAACACACCGCCGCCGAACAGCCGCCCCCATTGTTTTCTATGTACAACCCCCACCCGGCGCTCGTCGACGCGCCGCCCCGCTACACTTCACGCCAGTGTCCTGTGTATCTCTGTGAATAAATGCTTAAACTACACTTTGATAACTGTTACTGAACAATGTGTTAAATATTTTAGGGAGGATGACAACAGATCTTGGAAGACGAGGACCAAATATCAAGACAGCAAGTCAGCAGAAGAAAAGTAAGAGACATTTACCCATGATTACAAAACTGTATGGAGGTTTAAAAGTGCCCAAATTAAGTAAATAAATACACCATTAAATACTTACTTAAATGTGTCATTAATTCATTAACATACCGATTCATTTTATGTAAAAAAAACCAACCATATAATCATTTCACTATTTAATTAATTTACATTTCATGATCCTTTGTTGCAGTGCTTCATGAATTGTCAAACTGTCAAACTCGCCCATCAAAGTGCGGTGTATATATATATATATATATATATATATATATATATATATATATATATATATATATATATATATGTGTGTGTGTATATACTGTATATGTGTATATATACACATGTGTGTGTGCGCACCTTACCTTGGCAGAGTACCTGCTAAATGGTGTAACAACATGAAGAAGGAAGTAACTCAAGAAGAATCCAACCCAACAAGATGAGTCATGTAAGATAAATGAATGAAGAAAACAACCCTGCCTAGAATTAACCATTATAGTTAAGTCAGACAGTTTTATTTGCATAGCCCTGAATCCCAGTTACAGTGTCAAAGGGCTTGTTAACATACATTATAAACATACTGACCCTCTAGCACCACCTGTCAGTCACACACCAGTGCAACCTTGCTAACAGACATGGGACCAAGTCACACATGTGCAAGTCTCAAGTAAGTCACAAGTCTTAACTTTCAAGTCTCAAGTAAGTCACAAATCTAAACTTTCAAGTCTCAAGTAAGTCACAAGTCTTAACTTTCAAGTCTCAAGTAAGTCACAAGTCTTAACTTTCAAGTCTCAACTAAGTCCCAAGTCATTTTTTCTTGGTCAAGTCAAGTCATAGGTTATGTCAAGTCAAGTCCAAGTCAAGTCACCTTATACCATGGTCTGGGTGAATACTGGATTCTGATTGGCTGGAGGGTGTAGATTAAAAAGTGTTAATGTACACCTAGGAAAGATGTTGACGCTATGAAGACGCTATGGCCACGTTGCTTGGCAACGCCTGCATACGGGAGACATTAAATAGTCCGCTCGACTTGTAAAAATAAAAACACCCTCACGATTTTAACTCTAAAACACATTAACGTATTATTAATTGATTACATATTTCTTTCGTACGTGACCATGGTATAAGCGGGATAATGCCCTTCGAGGTGTCCATTAACACAAATGAATGGACGACGCGGAGGCGTGAGACATGTTATCAGAGGGCGTGTTTCTCCGATACACACGTAAGGTAGGCAGAGGGGGCGTGACTGACTGACAGGGTATTGATCCAATCATGACACTGCCATTCTCAGCCTGCGCTCATACCGGGTAATGTTTGATATTAATTTTATATTTATATTAAAACACAAAATCAACAAGTCATTCAAGTCATCGTGTCTCAAGTCAAGTCCCGAGTGTTTAACTTCCAAGTCCAAGTCGAGTCTCAAGTCTTTCATTTTTTGTCAAGTCAAGTCACAAGTCATCAAAACAGCGACTCGAGTCGACTCAAGTCCAAGTCACAATGACTCGAGTCCCCATCTCTGCTTGCTAATACTTATGATCTTCATTGGCATTCTGTTTGTTTGTCCTCCTATGTCCCGCGCCCAACTATGACAGCAGATCAGGTTAAACATCAAAGTTACCGTAGTGTGTGAGCAGACAGAGCTCAGACCGCTAGAGGAGGATGCTACAAGGAGGTGTGGCAGCAACAGGTTTGGTATGAGGAAGAAAAAGTCTGAAGATTTGCTCTACCTGAGGTCTCATTTGGTCCACTAGAAACAGTAGAGGATGCATTTTGTATTGCATGTGTTTCTATTCATTGTTTATTTGTCTCTTTATTGATAGCATGATATTTATGTTCCTGTTGGTTCTACTGTAAAGAAGGAGATGCATCAGTGAGTGTCTCTACAAGCTGTTTGAACTATCAAGTGTCTCCTTGTTGTTCTCTGAGCTTCTAGACATCAGAGCTCTCTGTCTGTCGTTCATATTTAATAATAAAGTGATTATTCTTCATCACTGAGTGAGGTCATGGTGCAGCAGCCTATAAGAGGTTATATGGGAGGAGTTTAAACTGGGAGGAGAACTGGACAAACTGGGTGGTTCATAACATCATACATTCCTTGTTACTTAGGGGGAAGGTTTGGTGTTGAACACTTTATTACAGCAGGAAGACGACTAAGGTACTGTAGTCAACTCTGATCCGCGATACATCATAAATATGTATCTCTTCATATCAATAGTGTTTATTTTCTGTAAACATACGGTTAAAAGGTGTTATTAAATATGTTATGTAAATGTTTTAACTGTAGCCTACTTGAAAACTCACTGTTAGATCAAGTTAACGGCTGTTTGTCAAAATTAAACTAATATTTTACTATTTAATTATTTAGCAAATGCTTTATCCAAAGTGACTGAGGGTGAATTCAGGTACAGGTAATTAAGGAGCAGGTAGGGGTTAGACAGTACAGAGACAGGTCATTAAGGAGCAGGTAGGGGTTAGACCATACAGAGACAGGTCATTAAGGAACAGGTAGGGGTTAGACAGTACAGAGACAAGTCATTAAGGAGCAGGTAGGGGTTAGACAGTACAGATACAGGTCATTAAGGAGCAGGTAGGGGTTAGACGGTACAGAGACAGGTCATTAAAGAGCAGGTAGGGGTTAGACGGTACAGAGACGGGTCATTAAGGAGCAGGTAGGGGTTAGACAGTACAGAGACAGGTCATTAAGGAGCAGGTAGGGGTTAGACAGTACAGAGACAGGTCATTAAGGAGCAGCTAGGGGTTAGACAGTACAGAGACAGGTCATTAAGGAGCAGCTAGGGGTTAGACAGTACAGAGACAGGTCATTAAGGATTTAGGATCTGATTTAGGATCTGTCCTAAATCTCAAGTGTCCTTGGGTGACTTAGGATAGAATATACAGTCTTTATAATTGTATTATTAATATTAATATTATGATAATTATTATTATTAGTCAGGAAGACAGCCATCTTGGCTGGTGAAGGTGTTTAAAAGCCATCTTGTGTTGGGTTTGGTTCTCTGGGCCTGCATCACATATCTGGTTGTCGTCATCAGATCTTACGACATGAGGAAGCCCATATATGGTCATGCCTTCAGAGCTGTTTAACCAGCTCAGGGAACAGTAGCTATGATATCTGCATGGTGATCTTGATCACATTTG